TTAAAATTGTATTAGCACATTATAATTATACATAATTATGGGGTTGTTACATATTTATAAATAATTGCAAGGGTCTTATGTTTTACATGAATTGGTATACTTACCCTAAGTAGACTGTAAAAATTTAATTGAATATTACATTAACAAAAAGCAACCACTATCATTAGTAAAAAAAAAACAAAATGAAATTATAAAATATATTTATTTACTCAAAATATAGGAAAGCAGGAACAGAGGAATGTAAATCAGTTTGTAGAAACAGGAAACAATAAAGTAGCAGATTTAAATTTAATCATTTTATAATTACATTAAACATAAATGGGCTAAGCAGTTTAATAAAAAAATGGAAGGAGAATATAACTTCAATTTAAATGGTAATAGGAAATTTGAGAGATTGTAGTATAGTGACTTTGGTTCTGATTATAAACATTATTGAATTCTAAACTAACAGTCATAGAGTTTTGTAGGCCCTCAGGTTTCTTGAATGGTTTGAATGTAGCCTTTCCTTACAACGGAGATATACAATCTCTAGAAAATATCRTTAAATTCAAATTTAGGGAAGCATGGATTGAGGTCTGAGTGCTTCCCTTCCAAGAGGGCTCTGATATCCTTATACAAATTGAGCTCTCTTCCCAATGTCTGGCTTTTGCATAAAATCTAATTTGCTATTTGGTCTATATATAAATAACTCAGAGGGTCACTTGAATGATGCATTATAGGACAAAGAGGTTAGCTTCTTTATAGATCTTCTAGATTAGAGAAAAAGTTATATCCCACTATCATATGACTGTTGTAATTCCCTTTAATAACTACCTTTCTTCTAGTTAGACTAGAAGCTGTCTTATTTCTTTTTGTTATCCCAGCAAAGTAACCCAGTGCCTGGCAGGTAACAGACACTCAACAAATATTTGCTAACCAACTACCACAACATGACCCTTAGCCTTAGATGTAATTTACAACTGCCTATTGGATATATTTACCTGTATAGTATTTACCTGAATAGTATTTGCTAATTTTTAAAAAACTAATTTTATCCATTTTTAATTTTATATAATAAAAGGTTCCCACTCTAAGTATGAAATTTTATAAATTTAATAAGTGTATATACCCATGTAACTACTACCCCATCAAGATATTTAATATTCAAAAAGTTCCCTCATGACACTTGCCAAAGATTGTGCCCTTACATTCCCTCCCCAAAGTCAGATGATGTATCTGTTGATCTAGGTTGGCATTTTATATTAGTTTTCATTTTCTAGAATTTTATATAAATGTCATAATAATACAGTATGTACTTTTTTGTGTCTGGTGTCTTTTGTTCCTCATGTTGTTCTTRAGATTCATCCACATTGTTTCACATCTTAATAGTTTATTTAGAGTTTTATTCCATTGTTTCAATATGTTACATTTTAAATAATATTTACTTATCTATTGAGGACTATTTGGATTTTTTTCCATAGCTTTTGGCTAATGTAAATAAAACTGCTATCAACATTTGTAAACAACTGTTATTTGGACATATGCTTTCATTTTTGTCTGTGGAAATACTTAAGAATAGAATGTCTAGATAGTTAGGGTAGGTATATGCTCATATGAAACTTCAAATTATTTTACATAGTGTTTTTACCACTTAACATTTGCCCCATGATGCATGAATTCCAGGTACTCCATATTTTCAGTAACACTTGGGATTGTCCTTCTTCCCTTCCTTCTTCTCTCCCTCCCTTCTTTCTTTCTTTCCTTCCTTCCTAATTTTAGTGGATAAGTGACAGTATCTCACTTTAAAATTCACATGACCAAACCTCAAATTCATATTSTACCCACTCTTACCAGCTACCACTTTGGACTTTTATTTTAAAACAAAATGAATAATATTATGCTAGAAAATATTAGTGACAAAACAACAACAAACCATTAATTGAGCATTTATCACTCTCCTAACTTTAGAGTATAAGCTTCATGATGGTAAGACGTCTTGTTCTTTCTGTATTTAGCACAGTGCTGGAGGCTTAAAATGTACATTTATTAGCTATTTGTTGTTGTGCAGTAAATTATTTGAAATSTTAGCAACTTAAARCAACAAACATTTATTGTCTTATACGGTTTCTGAGCATTAAGATTGGGGAGCAGCTTAGCTGAGTGGTCCTGGGTCAAGGTTCTTCAGTCAAGCTATCAGCTGGTGCTGTAGTCACTTGAAAGCTTGCTTGGGGCAGAAGGATTGGTTTCCAAGTCCTACTGCCAGGGCTACTTGCAAGAAGCCTTGGTTCCTTGGTAGTTGTTGTCAGTAGTTTTCAATTCTTTTCCAGGTGGAACTCTTTGTTGGGCTGCTCCATGTGGTTCCTCAAAATGAGTGAGCAAAGAGAGAAAAAGCTAGAAGTTAGTTACAGAGATCAACCAGGAGGTGGGGATTGTTGAGGACCATCCTGAATGCCCGCTAATATAGTGCGTAATGAATATTTGTTGATTAAACTGATGTGTGTTTGACATACACCATCTCATTTTATCCTCATAACAATCCCATGGTCCATTTTCCTCAACTGAGAAATGATGAAACTGACATTTACAAATTTAAGCAACCTGTCCAATTCTTCTAAGTTCTTAGGTAGCAGTTAAACCAGAGTTCAAACGACTATAAAAGTTATGAAAAATGGTTCACAGTGAAAAGGAAGAAATCAAATTATTCTAAGAAGACATTGATTTATAATCTTATTTTTCTTTGAGTCAAACTCATTTGTATATGGGGAAAGAAGTTAGAAATTGTATCAAGAGGAAAACCCCCAAACTCTGCAGGGGAATAGAGTTAATTGGTTCCCTATTTTTGTAGTTGAAAAGGTGTTRGTATCATTCTCTCCAACYATGCTTTTTCCAATTCTTGGCAGATCCTTGGAAACAAAGAAAGTCAAATTCTTTCCCTGACTGCCCAGAGTCAATTCAACAAAAATCTGGCAACTAAATATTGTGCAAATAGCACTGTGGTAGCTTTCAGGATCTACAAAACACGTGATAGAGTATATGCTGTTCAAGAGGTCACAGTCTTTGGGATTTAAGKTGATAAAAACATAATTATAATCAAAAAAGAAAGAGTAAGCATCATGGCACATAGGGAATGCTTATTGGGATTTGAGTTTTTAAAAGACCAGTTGTGTCTTTAAAATACCTTTGTTTAGTAAAATAATTCAATGTGACTATCTCTGACAATCAGCCTTAGATTAAACTGGAAGAGGTCAACCTTCTTTAATATTTTAAAAAGCAGTTGGAAAACTTTGCAGAGGTAGTAACTTGTTTTTCTTTCCAGATGTCTGTGTCAGGAATTACAGTTATTCATAAATGGTGGCAGAAAATGGGCTTTATACACCTTTTAGAATGCAAAAATGAAGTAGGTATAGAGATTCAAAGTCCAGGTAGTCTTACTTGAGAATGTCAGAATCCAAACAGGAGAATCCAAACAGGAGAAGACTGAAATGATAGCTAAAATGACAGTGCTGGGGTAGAAGTAAATTGGAAAGACTCCTCACTCTAGGTAGAAACAAGCCTTCTAGTAGAGTTTAAATAATTATATGTTCCCTTTGCCACTTCATCAGGGAACCTATCTTGTGCACAATTGGAACTGACTGGAGAGTCTGTGCAGAAATAAGTTTCAGACAAAACTTTGCCCTGGCCATTGAACAAGCTCAGCTTTCAGCCTTCTGCAGAAAGTTAAAACTCCCTGGCTCCAGATTTTAACTGTGGCAGCTTGGGGGCAGGAGTGACTTTGGTAGAGCTAGAGTGGYGTTGTGGCAGAGGCCACAGGTGGAACCTGGATTTTGAATACACTTGAACCGGAAGGTGTAGGATGCAGAGGCTAGGGAGGGGGAAATCTGGGTGGGCCGCCTGTTGGGGAGTCAGATATGACACCTAGAAAACAACCTATGAATGTACTTGGCCTAGGCCTGACCGGCAACACTTTGTGAAGGAGCAAGTTTGGTTAATCCAGATGGGAATTGTGGTGCAAAACTATAGAAGAGGGGCARATCAGGGTTCTGGCCATGCTACAAGGAAATGAGTCTGGGCGAGGGGCGAGGTCTTTATCACTAAATAGCCGGCCTCCCAGGCCCTCCCTTGCTGCTCTTTGGGTTGCAATCTACCYTTGGTAAGGAACAGAATGTTGCTGCAGATAGGCTAAAAACCACCTGGCATCCCCAACCTGCCCCTTTTCCAAAGTTCTCCGCTCCGCATCAGCTGGGGTTAGTCGCCAGAGGCTAACATCTGGCGGGGTTGGAACCGGCTCAAAAAACGCACCTTTGCCAGCTCGCTCTCTACTTGRGTTCCTGGCCCGGTGCAGCCGCGTCCAGGAGAATCTTGCAGACTCTTAGATTCCTATGTTTTTGTTGGTATGAAGAGGACAGTTTTCTATGACTATGTAGAAGAACAATGATTACTGAAGATGCGCTCCAAGGTTACAAAGCCTACAGACGGTGCCCGCGGAGTAGAGGCACAGCAGGGGCCGGGGGCGCAAGGCTTGGCTTGGAGCGCCCGCTCACACTTCTGGGGCTACCGCGATCAGCTAGCACACAAGTGGCCAAGAAAGAAGGAGCGAGGGCGGTGCAGACACCTCAAAACMTCAAATCGCGTAGCTCCTGGCGCCCACAGCGCGCAAGGTACGCTTCGGGGCGGTCCTGCATGACCCCGGAAGAGAAAGTTGTTTTGGGGAAGGGGAGAGAGGAGAGCGTGTTAAGTAGTACTAAAAATCAAAAGTTGTTCTGCTCCCGTCAGGCCGCCACTTCTCCGCCTCGTCTCCGCCTCAAGCCCCTTCAGAATCTGGATTCCTCCAAAGGTTCGATGCYCTCCCAGCCTGAGCCGGAGTTGGGGGACGGTGAGCCGCCCGCCAGCAGGTTTCTCGACCCTCTCCAGAACCAGGTCTGCAGGAAAACCCGGAGCGGAGCATCCCTCGGGCGGCTGGGAAACGCCCTCGGCGGGCGCCCAGCGGCGCGCATGCTCAGAACGCGCGGCGGCAGCGAGTAGGAAGCTTCCCGCGGCAGCAGCAGCGSCGGCAGGAGGGTGGGAGGGGATTAGCCGGCTGGCGGGCGGGGGCGCGAGGACGCGGGAGGAATCCCGCCCTAGGTTCCTTTGAGCGTTTTGGACCACGAAGCCCTGGGCAAGGAGCGAGTGAGCCTGGGGCCAACTACGAGCGCGGAGCCTGCAGCGGGCRGCGCGGAGCGGGGCCCCCGGGCTGAGCGGGCTCAGAGCCCGGGGCTCCGCGGCTCGGGACCCGGCTCCGGCGGGGGCGGCGATGTTCCACTGCATCCCCCTGTGGCGGTGCAACCGTCATGTAGAGACCGTCGACAAGCGCCACTGCTCTCTCGTCTACGTCCCTGAGGAAATCTACCGCTATGCTCGTAGCCTGGAAGAGCTTCTGCTGGACGCTAACCAGCTCCGCGAGCTGCCCGAGGTGAGTGGCCGGCCTTACCTGCTCCCCGGTCTCCGAGAAGCGTGCCCAGTCCTTTCCCACTCCTCTTTTCCTTTCTCCCCTGTCTTTCCCACCTTTTAGATCCCGGCCGGCCGGCAGGTCCAGCAGGTAACACTTCTTCCTGTATTCACCTGCTTCTTTCTTCCCTTGCTTCTCTAACTCCATCCTTCCCAGTAAAAGTTCTTTTACATTTTATACAAAGGTACTTGATTTCTTCCGAGTAGTCACTAGAGCTTGTACGATTGGAGAAACGTTCTGGGCTAGTAAGTAGCTTAGTTGCATGTCTAGGTACTARCACCAGGTACTTGTGCCCGGGCAGGTGAAGACCAGGTGGCTCGGAATGTTCCCAGCTGGAGGCAACCGAGCCGCATCCCGCCCCCGGGGGACGTTCCCTTCACTTTGTTTCCCCATCCKGGGCTCATCTCCCCTTTCGCCGAGCAGGTCCCTGAATACCTTGGGACCTGGGCAGCGCGCGAGTGAACTGCACTATCTCGCACTATCTCGGCATCTTAGCGGGAATGTGCTCCAGGCCTTATCGCGGATGGGCTGTGCTCTGAAGAGCTGTAGCTTGGCCAGTTTGCTGTGGCCCTGGCAGCGCAGCGAGGTAGGGGGCAGGAGGAAAGACCGGTCTGGGGAACTGGGCACAGGTGCCCAGATACCCAGATGCCAGCCACTTGGGCCTTGCCTGCATGGACCTGTTGCGTGTTAGGCGCTGCGGTGAACGTCATCAGAGACCCCGCTGGTGGATCAGCCTGGCAGCTGTCTTTCCCAGAGCAACCGCGTTCAGCCTGCTTACTTCTGACCTTTCAGTAATGTGTTAACCTCTTCAGAGATGTTTACGTAAATTAATCACTCCTTCGCGGCCGAACTTTCAAGGCCTATGCAGATTTTTTTTTTTCTTTTTCTTTATTGAAGGGTCAGGGAACTGCAAACTGTTAGTCCTAGGGTTTGCCTGGGGAATTCAGCTTGGGAAACTTCTAAGGAGGAAGATATCCCTAATTCAGGTGTGTGCAGGAAGTCCTTGTGTGCCAATCCAAAGGTGTGCAGGAAGTAGGGAGACTGCTGGGAGGCGGGGAGAGGACCTGGAGGCCTCAGCGTCGAAACTCAAGTTATCTTGCTTGGTCTTTTGGTTAAACACAAACCGCGTCATTGTTACAGAAACCCTGGTAAATGTTCTGGCTCATTAAAATGACCTGATATGTTCTCCAKCGCTGATAGTCTTTTGAAAAATCAGAACGGTGTCTTTCTCAGCATTTCATGCGTTGTTATTCTTCTTGGATGAACTTTCCTTGGTTTGTGTGGGATTGATTGGATGGTTTGCTCTGTGTAATCACAGAGATTAACCTCACCAGGATCTTTGCAAAGCCCCCAGGCTTTATTTAGCTTAGAAGCAGAAAAGCCATCCAGTTCTCTCAGGCATTTATTATTTTGCAGGCATTTTCAAATACATGGTTTTGTCTGGATTTTAGCTTCCTTAAATGTGACTGAAGCGACACACTCACTGCTTTAAATTATATATTTTTAGGCATTGAAATGTGGAATATGTAATGTAATACATTTCTAGGTCTTCAGAATTAAGTTATTAAAGATTGAGTGAAAAGTTACTCAACTAGAAACCTTGCAGTCCTTGCCCTTCTTGGTGGTTGCTTTCTGTCGTAGAACGGGAAGATTTCTTTTGACTGAGTTGCTTTTTTATTCCCTTCTGCCTAATTTGTAGGTTTTCCTGTAATGTTGGAGAATTTAGCTTGGCATGGAAATTATAGGTTTTGGAAATGTCAGGTATTTCTACTGATCGTAGAAATGGAAACTCAGAAGCTCAAAATAAAGTCTAATGGCACTCTGTAAATATAGTAAATATTTCAAAGGCTAGAGGTGGTCTTGCTTATTGGTGATTATTGCTCTTAAAGCTCCAAAGTTAGTAAGTTTTGAGGTCATGTAAGATCTGTTTCTCCCTGACTTATTTCACCATAGGTACTTGGATGTGTACTTACAAGAAATGAACAGCCACCTTGAAAGCAGATATTTGTTCTATTCACAATCTTTTCTTCCATTGCTTCACCTCTGAGATCTGTATAACTCATGGCTTCTGCTCACTGTTGTTCCTGCTTTCTACTTGAAACTCCTGTCTTCTCAACTTGCCACACAGTTGCTCTTTTGCTGATAAACCTCAATGATCCTTGTGTGGCGGCCTTTCCAGGTGTGTATTCCTCTCTATGTAATTTGGAAACACAGCCAAAGGGGAAGCCTGCACCCCCTACCCTGACAAAAGGTTTCAAGATAATGACAGATACCTTCTCTCCACTWAAAGGCCTACAGCCTCTCATTTGCTTCAACATCTACATTTTACAAATTGAGACTCAGAATTGAAGTGACTTTCTCAGAGCTATCCAGCTGGTTAGGTGCATTCTCTGCCCTCATTCATTCAGGTGTGTACCAACTACAGCTGCTTTGGGCACCTAGCAGGAATCTACCCTGTTCTGTTTCTCACACATATCAAATCTTCAATTATTCAGTGCCCCCTTTCATACTCACCTCATTAAAACTTGGTCTTGTCAAACAAACATTTATTAAGGATGATTCGCTAGTTATTGGGAATATAGAGCTTAAAGGAGCTGTGATTCCTATGTGTTGTTCACAGCCTTGTRGTGAGGCAGATTACTTTGGTTCCAGATGTGGTGAGTGTGGGGTGGGGAGGGCACCAGAGTTCATCACACCACACTCAGCAGATGTGATGGTCACTCACCTAAGGCCCAACTCATCTGTACCAGAGGATGCCTCAGAAGCTGTGTTCTTAGCTTGCCACCTGTTATCTCACCATCCTTTCCCATCCATCTGCTGCTCCCCTCCTCTCTACTCCCTGCTGTGGAATCCTTTTGAGATCTGTTCTAACAGGGATGATGTCACTTTAACCTCTTTGAAGTGCCTGCATGATTTTGCTCACCCTTTTGGCACCTAGTAGGTCTTAATCAATAAGCAGTTATATATTTGTTGAGTGAGTGTTCCTGGGTCTTGTAGAAATCTTCCTCTTCTGCTTCTTTCCCTTGCATTAAGCATATCTCTACTCCAGCATCTATCCTTTTCTTATATAGTCAGAGTGTTCAAGGTGGAAGTGACTTCCATGTGAAGGCCATCCATGTGGGGAAGTTCTTTTGTTTGTTTTGTGCTATGGGATCTTGGCTTCCTCTGTGTGTCCCCACATTTCAGATGCCATTGTTTTTTCCTCGGTGTTCATCATTTCTCAAATATCTCCAAATATGTGTGCTTTACTGTGATCTCTTTAGCACTGTTACAGTGCTTAGTATAGTAGGCAGCAAATACTTTGAGTGAATGTATTCAAGACTTCCCAGCTTGAAAAATTGAGTTTCATCTGTTAACCCCCTTAGTGTTCAGTTGATCTTTTGTAGATTGTCAGATAACATTATCTCAAATATCTGCTCCCTGTAGTCATTCTTTCTCATATCTTGCTTTATTTTTTCCTCGATCTTGGGCACTTATCATTACCTAAGTTCATACTATGTAGTTAGTTATTTACTGGTTGCTTGTCTGTCTCCCCAAGTAGAACACAAGCCTTGCAAAGGCAGGGATGCTCATTGCTGAACCCAGGGAAGTACCTGGTGCGTTGTGAGCTCAAATCCTTGTTGCATGATGAGACCTCACATGTCGTTATCAGTAGGATGCCCCTGTTTCTTAAGCCATGATAATTCCTTTTCTTTTGGTCTGACTTGGTCAGTTGAAACTAATAATGACAAAAATCTTTTTTCAGAACCTGGGAGCCTTTGTTGAGTCTTTATTCATCCCCTGTTCTGTGCAGGACACCTTTGGCAGCCTTTGAAATAATTTTTATGCACTGTTAACATATTCTTCTATGAATGTGATTTCAAGTGCAACATCTCCAGCTGAAATCTGTTAAGGGGATACCCATCCCCACTTGGAAGAAGTTCCTTTTGTCTTAACCCAGCTATGTTTCAGTTTAGATCTTATCTTCAGAACTGGCATCTCTTTTGAGCTGTTCCATGTCTGAGGGGTGGGACAGCCATTCTTTCCGTCTCAAAAGTCCATGGATTTATTTTTGATCCTTCTTTCTTTTCATCCATCCTGTTAACAAGACCTATTGTTTCTTCCTTCAAAATGCCGTCTTTCTTCTCCTACCTGGTTGGTTTTCCCTGGATTTGTATTGTCCATTGCTGGTCACCTTTGGCCAAGGCTCTTTAGGATTTGTCTTAAAGAATAGAGAGCACAGGTTTGGATTCAGATAGTTGAGGACAGTATTCCATCTCTTGAGTATTGTCGTCCAGCTCTGGTTTCCTCAGGTGTTAGAGTAGTACTTACCCTATAGTGTTATTCTGAGAATTAAAAAGATCATGTGTATATACTACTTAAAATAGCAACACAGATCTAACATGTCTAAAATCTTCCTGAATACTGTGGCAAGGCCATTTTATTACAAAACAGTGTTTCTTAAACTGAAGTTTAAAAATATTTTCCTGGGTGTTTAAGGCGTTTTCAAACCAGAATTAAGTTTTTATGTTCTCTTTAACAAGAGAACATAAAAACTTAATATTTTTTWAAAAAATCACCAATTCTGTAGCATTTATATTGAGCTTATGAATGATTAGTGCCATATGATTTTATTGCTTATGCTTCATTGAACACTCCTTTAATTGTAGTTAATGAGGGAACAACAAATAAGGCATTTTACAGAAATGATGTGTTAGGGTCAGACGATGATTAGAAGTTCAGTGAGCAAAGATATCATGGCACTTTGTTAGAAAAAAGTGTTGGGGAGCCAGAGGAGTCAGGGTCCGTGGTAGTGTAGATGCTCAGAATGTAAATGTAAGAAGCCTGTGCCTTGTGAGCACGGTGTGGAATACACTGTGAGCAGCCCTGCAGTGTCTGCAAGATCACATCATTGTGATGTCAGAGTCTTATTGGCTTTTATCAGATTTTGAAAATTGTTTCACTTTATAGTTTTATAAAAACTA